AAAAAAAAAAAAGAAAATGGCCTAAACTTCTTACTCTGTTTCTACCAACAACCAACAAGTAAAATCAAATGCAAATTAAGAAAAGAAGAAAAAAGAAAAATGAAATTTGAAAGATAAGCAAGCAAAATTTTTGCTAAATATAAAATTTTAAATTACCGTTAATCTTGCCTGAAAAAATACAGAAAACACGCGGTTCTAGAGATACCATTTTTTCAATCCTGTAACTTGAGCAACAAAAAACTATATTTTATGACACTCAAAATATGCAATAAATTTTGAACTCAAAGAACCTCAAATGAGTGCTAAGAATAATAATTAAAGCTAAAAGGATACGTTCTTGATTTAACATCTAACAAGTAAGCCCTAAATAAAAATAAAATATGGCACAACTATCAGTTAACTTTTGAAAAAAAAGGAATCTTATCAACTTCAAGGCAATAACCTTTCTATAACGCGAAAAATTTTTAACTATTTTCTACAGTGAAAAATAATGAAGTCAAGATAATTAACAAAAAAAAGTAAAGTAAATAAGAAATAATATATAAGCTAGATAATCTACACAAATTGGTTTCAAAAAAACTTTGAAGAATTAGGAATAAAAATTATTTTACTTGTTTAAGTAATGACAGATAACTTATTGGCAAGATAAAAACAAAGAACAGATACCAAAAACAGAAAATCAAGAGATTTGTTACTGAAGATTAGAAATGAATTTGAATAAAAAAAAACGGAGATCAACCATAAAATGATGAATAGAGAGGTAGACGACTTGCATAAACTCGCAGTGTAAAAAAAAAAACTCTTTTTACAATACCAAATGTCCATCAATATCTAGCCCAACTGAAGTAGTCAAATTCTGATGTACCTACGTTTTCTCAACAGCTACTTAATATTATTACATAAGATTCTGTCCATAATTCATTTGAAAAATTTTAAATTTTAAACCGACCAGAAACTGTAACAAAGCTTATGATACAACAGTGGCGATTTTGAACTTTTGTGCGCATTTGTAAA